AAAGTCATGAAATAAGAGTATCCTGTAACTATATTCCATCAACTACTGAAAAAGATCTCAAAACATAACTTTCAGACTCAGATTAATGTAACTTTCAGACTCAGATTATACCTGCTAGTAGACATTTATTCATACAACAAAAGGGAAGCTTATAGCGTGCTTTTCTTCCCTGTCTTTTTGAGTTTTCACCAGAGAACACCTATTGTATATTTCTACTGCCTATTGTACACACCAGCTGCATATCGGCTGCCAGATGTTGCCCCAGAAATGTCAGCTGCTGCTTGAGGCAGGGAGTGAATGCAATTAGAGATGCCCTGGTGACAGCTTGACACTTATGGTGGCAATGTTTCAATTTTTAATTGGGCATGTAACACAAAAACCACACAATTTGGATTATTCCTGAAAACTGGACCAGTACACTATGCTAACATCTTTCATTTGGGAGATGCAAAGATCAATGTGTGGTCAGAAGCCCAAATGGATTGACTGCTTTTTGTAAAATATCTGAAACTAGTTCCTGAAACATATTCCGCATCCAGTAGCTGTGAGGAGACCTGCTTTTTAAGGCAGGAATGTTATTGCTTTAAAGCAGTTCATTGCTTTTGTACTGAAACACTAGTATACATAAATATGCAAAATATAAAAACCAGAGAGCCTGAATACTCCTTTCGCTGCTTATGTGACTAGTTCCCCTTTACTACATTTCCATCTATCCATTTCTATTGACATGTCAAATGCCTTTTCAAAGAAACTGTATCAAATCAACTTACAAATTATAAATTAAAAACTTTGGACACAATCATTAAGCAAAATGTATGAAGTACATTTAGTAGTAGAACTACTCTGTATGAATTAGTTTAGTGCAGTCATGAGAAACAAACAAAAAAAAAACCCCAAAAATATGCCAAGTTCAAACTAAATGTAGTCTTTTCCTAGGGCTACACGACCAGATCCTACCCAACATCAGATTCATTTTGGATACACAGTATTTACTTAACTCTAAGATGACCTCCTTCTCTTTAACAAAGTAGAAATCCAAGGGTGGTCTGTGTTTGTTCATCCAGCATAGATTTCTTTGAACTACCTTACCTCTATCCTGCATTTGCATTGCATTCAGTCCAGCTTAAATAGGTTGGAAGTGAACAAGTTATGTATGTTAGCTGCTCCATGCTGGCTACCTCTATGCATGCTCCATTAGTGTAGTATAATTTAAAGTACCTTACTGAAAGATGTATGTAATACTGTATCCATGTACCAGCACAGCATAGTTACTGTTTACAGCAACTTAGTTCTACCTGGCCATTTAGGATAGGGATTAAAATACATTAGTTGAAGCTGCAGAAATAATTTCAGGTAAGGGAACTTAGCTGGATTTTGACCAAGAGGTTGAATTTATAAATCTTCGTTCTTGTGAAAAATACCATGGGCCCAATGTAATTCTGACTCTTCATTCTCTCTTGAAAGGATAGGTTTTCCAGAAAAATGCTAGGTTTTTACTGTCCCAGAGGGATGAACACTATATTTGGAATGACAGACACTATCTGTATTTTCTCTTTACATAAAAGTGACCCTAAGTTACTTTTTTCTGAGAGTCAATGGGCTGATCGGATAAATATGAAACATACCCTCAGAATGTGGGCAGCAGTACCCTGTCTCCTGTTAACCATTTGCCAGTCAACTCTGGACGGTGTGAGTCTTGTGTAATATTCACAGAAGGTATCAATACCTACAAACCGGCAATGCTACTGGTACCTCATCTCTGATAAGAACTTGCTCCATTTGGAGACTGTCCTCTCCATTTTACCCAATATACGTGTGTCTCAAAGAGTGTTAAAAACTGAAAACAGTAGGGTCATCAAGAATCCCAGAGCCAGGATAACATAGTTATTTATCTCACTTGTGAGACACTGTAAAAAAGGATAAATCAATATAGGAAATTTTATATCTGGCTGAAAAGAAAATACAGTCTCTTTTCCTGGAGTGACCTATATTTTCAATTAACTTACCTAGAGCTTCTATGCATATGATCATATGTGTTGGATGTGATCCATGTTGGACTGGGACAACACAGTCATCCTATCCAGACCCAATATACACTGAAAAGCAGGGAGAAGGGTCAGAAGATGATTTATGCTGTTCCACTTGATTAGCATTCACTCTTAGAGCCCTGTTTTCCATGCCTTCACTAATCCAATGATCTGTTCCTTGGTCTGGGATCCCCTCATTGTTTGCTACTGCATATACAGAGCACCAAACCTGGCAGCACTTCCATGGGAGAGTGGTGTGGTATAGCTGAAGAATGTGAAGGTGAATTCATTGGGGAATATCTGCAAAATGTTATTACCTTTTTCTAGAGTCAGAAACATACACCTGTTCAGACCTTTCTCAGCTACACGATCTTGACATTGTGCCTGAAGTTATCTCAACATTTCTTGATTAATTTCAGATTCACTTTCCCATTTCCTGCTAAGTGAACACCTTGCTCCTTGCACCCACCATTTCCTGGGTATTTTGCTGTGCTACAATTGTCAACGAGCCCCTACAGTGCATTTTTCTTTCTCTGCAGTGTTACTGACGAATCTGGTTTTGAAACTGCAGTGTGAACAGTTTTCCTCTCTGCCACTGATTTCACGTTAAAAAGACAGGACTAACACAATCAAATGTCAATCTATGAACAGCCAGTAGTCAAAGAAGAATGAACTAACAACCACACAAAATTCATGGGAGGTAAAAAGTTTCTTTCAGTCCAGCGGTAACAGCCTGTTGCCTCTGTATAAGTTCTGTGGCCAAAGCCACAGACAATTCTCTGGTTTTATCCAGGAGCAAACTTTTCCCAGTGGAAGCAATGTGTTATGTATGAAAAATCAGAAAACAGACCTGCTGTTAAAATCTCCCAGAACTGAAACTCAGAATGATGCGTAGTCTCACCAGAAGGAGAAGTAAAAATAATGAGAAATAATCTAGGCATTAACCGATCACACCACTTAGTTTAAACCTAAGTGTTATGCAGCACAGTTGTTACTCTGCGGGGAGGGAGCGTACCAAGAATGTACTTATTTCCTTCAGGATTATAATTCAACTTGGAAACTAACGTGGCCATTAAATATACATGCTAGGGTTTAATTTTAGGTCAGAGTCCCATGTTAAAAAAGATTCCTACCCTAGATTTTAAAACATTAGCCTGAGTCATGTAACACAACCTCATTTTGATCATTCTGAGTTTAGAAAATGTACAATTACTGATGCTGGCAAGAAGTCACATCAAGGCCAAATGAGATTAATAAGAAATAAAACTGCATGTCAGTAGCGTAATAGAAACTGAAATGACTAATCAAATGGGCAGAACACTCATGCAGCCTAGGCAGCAAAGTCCAAGTAAATGGGCTTGAAAGCCAAAAGAAAACTCCATAGTAGGCACTTAAATCATTAATTTGAAAAAGTTTTTTGTGCAGAATGTTGCAATAAGTTTCATAATACTTAAAATATAAAGTGATTTCATAGCTTTCACTGCTGACCTTAGCACAGTAATAAATCTGCAAAAATCACGAAGTAGGAAAAGATAGGTTCAAGACCATTGGGCAGATGTATCAATAGGGAGAATGTATTCCACGTTCATTTTCTGCACTGCCCAGACTTCAGAGACTTCTTCAGCACCTCTCCTGGTAGAAGCGGGGCAGAATGCTAGGATGTGAAGCTGAACAGCTGCAGCAACACTCTCGTGTTCTTGGATGTTGGGTTACAACTCCTACAGACAGTGGTATGTTTACAGGAAATGCAATAAATGAACAATGGCTGCCATTGAAAACATCCATCAACTACTGCAGCACTAAAGACGCTAACTTCCAGGTTATTTGAAAGAATAGTTCATGGTAACTGGTTGATGTAACCAGTGATATGTTCTTATAAACTTATATTCACCGGTAACCATGTTCATGCAAAAACAATTAAAGAAAGGAAACATTTTCATTATTCTGGAGAGAAACAGCTTCCGTTTTTTCCTTCCCCGGTGTGCTCCAAAGAAGCGTGCCTTTCAAGTACATAGAAAGAATATCTATACATGTACCAGGAATTCAGTGAAAGAAAGGGAGATAATGCCCAGCACCTACATAATTGACCAAAGCCTGTAACCTGAAAATTCCTCTGCTGTTTCCATCAGTGGCAGCACGACAATGCGTATTACCATGAGTGTGAGTTGATCAAGCACAAGTAAAGCTAAATATTCAGCAATATCTATTCTGCACAGAAGTGACACTTAAGCCCTGTTTAAGCACACTTACGAAAGTTTAAGAAGGAACATAGCCTAGGCAAAAGACAGATGGTCTCTTTAAGCCCTGCTCCTGATACCTATCAGATCAATAGATTTTTAGACAGTTTACATTCATTTTTACGCTCTTGTCCAGAAAAGATTTACTGTTTTAGGACATTGTGTTGGAAATACATTGATATAAACGATTCATATGTACTGTCCAATTATTTCAACGTTTAGGATTAAGACAGAAGGAGAGATTTTAGGCTGTCTTCAAACTATTAAGATACCACTCAAGTCCCTGTGCCTAAGCTGACAGGAAAAGGAAGGCAGGGGTCTCGTTAGGTCTCTGGAAAGAGTACCAAGAGCCACAGCAAAGAGTGGGGCAGGTAGCTAAAAGGAAACGTAAGTGCAGAAATGTGGATTGCGCTCTGTAGAATTTAGGCCATCCAAACCCAGCACTTGTTTTCCCTACTGCACAGCACAGTGGATGAAATTCTGTGGCCTACTTGTGCATAAGGTTGAAAAAGATGACTGTAATGGCCTGTTTTGGCCTTCAATTCATGTGTCTGATTTTCCTTTAGGCTATGCTTTCCCACTGCTCTGGCAACAAATAGCCTATATTTAGGCATGCTTAAAAGCATTTTTCCACTGCTACAGCAGAGTAAAGGGGTTTCAGGGTAAACAAAACTCATACCCTCAGATTCTACACAGCTTTAAATGTTAGGAGTTTTTTTCAAGAAAGCTCTCTTACCTCTTTTTCCATTTGAAGACCTTCTGCTCTGATATTTCTCTCAAATACTTCCCTCTTTTCTGTCTGCGGATTAGATTTTCTATATACCAGGATGTAGTCAATCCGGCATTTCCCATCTCTAAAATATAGTCCATTGGCTTTGTTCTTATCAGGTACTTCCTGTAAAGAGAAAGTCGAACATTTCAGTAATGTTAATTTGCCTTGGTAATTGCTGCATTGCTGTTTGCATCAGCAGTTTTCAGTAATACTCAACAGGAAAGATAAGGAATCAGAACAAGGAGTTCAAGTTTTTAGGTGTTTTACATACAGTGCCTCTGAGGTTATCTGAAAGTAGTACAGACTTCCCCATTTCAAAAGCAGGAGGTCTTGTTAGGCAGATGTTTTGTCATACAGGCATGGGATAGGACAGAATAGAGAACGCAAGCCAACCTTCCTCCCCCACCACCCTCCAGAAAATTAGGAATAACTTGTTACATATAAAATAAAGCAGAGAATAGTGTTACTGAAGCATAAATTTAAAACTAAGAACTTAGTATGGTAGAATGTCTGTGTACATGTGAGAAGAATAAGAAATGGCATGAACATTTACTGTGGTGAGAAACACTAAGACCTGGCACAGAAATTCTCATTGCTTTGTGATGACTATAGTACCTCTGCCTCACAGGACACAGACAGGATATGAAGGTCCTGTACCTATCTCATCAGACTAACTACAGAGTATTCTTGGCTTAAGGAATGTCTGAGGAAGCCCATTGGATTTATCTGAAAATAATTCCTGGTGTTTGGTCTAGCAGTACATAAACACAATAAATACTGTTTCTTGGCTATTTCCTGCAAAGAACATGCCTGTTCAAATGTTTGCTCTGACAGAAGCAACTTGGTTTCACTGTTAATAAGAGGTCAAGCAGGTCCCTCTCCTGAGATCTAAAAGACCAAAATGCTGGTCTTTTTTCAGAAATACATGAGGTGAAACTCTCTACAGATTCTCCTCACAATTTAACACTACTTCCACATAATACAAGTCCTGCCCAGGGGTTAAGCTTTTGCTTTCAAACAAGTTGAAATTGTGTGGCAGTTTGTGGGCTGGAGTGTTTTGTACAAGAAATGTACACTGTGAATGATATATGGGAACAAACAGCACTCTGTCAGGGCAGTATAATGGGCAGGGGCCTTCAGGGACCTCAAAATCAGTCCAGCTCCAAGCTGAAGGAGGGTTAGGCTAACTCTTCTGTTTTTCCAGAATTTGTCCAATGATTCCTGCCAGAAACAGCCATGCCCTGTAATACATGATCAAATCCCTGAAAAAAAAAGAATATTTTGCCTTTCACATCTGGGAACAGTAGGGAATTTTCAAACTACTTTCTCCATAGGAGAACTGCATCTTAATTTAAATTGCAAAAAGTGAACATAGTAATATGTTCAATTATGATTCTTGAAAAAAAAAAAAAAAAAGAATATTCCCATTCAAAGAGTTTAGTGTAAGGTATCTTCCTGAGTCTCAGTAGACTTTTTGATTAAATGGAAAAACCAATAAAAGCATCCCAAATGTCCCATCCCCTTGGTACATCCAGTTTACTGAAGGCAGAAAGGGGAATTTTTCTAAGATTCTTTTATTACAGTGCCTGACTCTTGACACAGCTTAATGCAGACTTGATATAGTAGAACAGTTCTTTGAGCTGAAAAAGAAGGCAAGAAAAAAGATTTAAGCCCTAAGGAAATAACAGTAATAAACCGTTTATATCTATACTGCATATCATGCTGACAAATGATATTATCAGGATATCAGAAGTATTTTTCACAGAACATTAAATATGAAAACAGCTCAGGAAGCACAGTTTATTTTTTTCCATAAAATATCTATTTTGAGAACATGTAAAAAAAAACCCAAAGGGTATTTAAGGTTATTTAAATAAAGGAAGGGTGCAGTAGGAGATTTAGAGGCAGTGGGTGAGTTTGGTGGTCCTGTTCTGATTTCTAAGCCTCCTGCTGAGCCATCCTTCCTGTTCTGTAGGTCCCAGAGTCACTGTGTATTTAGCAAATAAAGTGGTGTAATAGGAAAGGATCTGTAGAGCAAAACAATCTGTGCTGAGGACCTGCTGTCCACGCTATTTAGGCTTGAGGGCTTACTTTGGACCCGCTCTAGTCTGGCCCAGGAGACTGACTAGAGTACATCTCACAACTTATTTGCATCCAGAAGTAATCCAGGTTTGAAATCCAACACTGTACTGGAATGCAAAAAAAGCATGGGTGGGGGCAACTGAGAGATTCACTTCAAATGTACACTCCCGATCTGAATTAAAAAGTTAGCACAGACCCATCCAGAGTGTACCACAAGGAATGTGTCTTTCTCTGCATGCTGGAAAAATAAATTTGCCCTTTATACTTGCTATGTTTCATCTTTCTCTGAAGAAAATTGGTTTGCCCTACACTGACTCATCAGTGCATGTAGAACGTTACATTAAGGAGTGTCTATGAGATTTAGCTAAGTTATTTGACTTGTAGGACTTCCTTCCCTATAAATATGACTTCCTGAGACAACTACTTTCGCTTGGAGTTGTCAAACAGTTCCAACTATAGTACTGCCATTTTTCGCTCAGAAAGTCTTACCTGTATTTGGAGGTCCTTTTCATTTTAGGAACGCAGTATGACAAATCCAGACTGATAAACTACTAGACTGGGATGGCCTCTGAGAAGGAACCCTTCTGTTGCCCTCTGTTATAGCCTGTAAGGCAGCTTTATAGATTGAGTCTGGATTTACAAGAACTCTGAGGTTCTAACATGATATGGAGACAGTCAGGCTGGCCCAGCAGCGTCAGGAAACAGCAGCTGCAGGGCTTTTGCATTGTCCACAGTATTCCAGGCTTACACTATTCTAGACAGAGACTTTTCTCCTACCTTGAGCATCGCTGACCTGTCTCCAGACATTGCATCTCCTTTCCCTGTGTTATGACTTCAAAATTCCATTTTCCTAAACTGATTTAAAAAAAAAAACAACAAACCTAGAACCAGGTCTGACTGCAGTTTTTGGTGGGAAAGTGGTCTAGTCATGTATGTCAAATCTCCATTCCTTCATCTGAAGAAGGATGCCGGAAGAAAATGGAAGAACAGAGAAGACTTCACTCTAGCAAGAAGTTAAGCATTTTTGGCTATCTTTGCAGCTTTATTTGCAATATGCATATCTAAAGTTGTATAATTGGGAATTCTTTTCCAAGGAATGCACTAGTTTTCATATTCTCAGACCCACAATTGGGAGCCATCAACATTCATAGGCATATGACTCAAACACATACATGCTAGGAGAGCTTTAGACTAAAGGGCTTACCCCAAATGTTTCACTATCCAAAACCAGAGGATTCGTAATCCTAACAGCTAGGATGGAACATTTAAATGGAACATTTAAACAAAAGTGCAGTTAGGGAAATCCAGGAAATTTGAAACTTTGCCTGCAGGTCTTTAAAAAAATAAATCAGAAGGGACTCCAATGTTCACTAATTTAATGACAGATTAGATTCTTCCTTAATTCCTAGTTATTTTGGTAGCTGGTTATTATCAGTATGGATGCTCAATGAAGGTAGGACCTTTGAATTCTGAAGAGAGTGTCTTTTCCTGTTGTTTGTGGCTACTTGAAATTAAGGGTCCCCTACACGTGACTTCACAGTGGGTGGAAGGGGCTAATATCTGCACTACTAACAGTGATAACTTATGCAGAAAAAGAGGAACCCAGAACCACCCAGTTTTTAAGCCACAGCTCCAATCAAGGAATGAGTAAATTTTCTCTGTGTGTTCTTTTTTCTTAATATCCTTTTGCCCTTTTAGATTCTAATTTTGTGGAAGCTGCGACTTTATTTTTCCATGTGTCTTCACTGGTTGGTATATTCTTCTTGACACCATAATATATTTAATTACACGGAACTTTGCTAATAATGAAATTATCTAGGCTGCAAAATCAAGTGCTCAAAAGTTAGGAAGTAACAGATTGGTAGTTTTCTCTGAAAGCTTAGATAATCTGTTTCCATATCCATCCTCATCACTGAAGAAGACCAGGACTTGGTGGAAAAAAATTATGTAGTCAACTTGTAATCTGGTAAATACACACAAGAAAACTGAGCTGAAATTGCACAAGCTATCATAAGTGCCATAAAGAACATCAGAAGTCTTATTTTTCAATGTGAATACCTTTTTTCTGCCACAATCTTCAGTGCAAGTTCCAATTTATAAAACAGATTGTTAAAACAAACTATTCAGTGCAATGCTAATAACACTGCCCCCAAATAACAACAGAGTTTGATGCTTGAAGTGAAGACTGTAGGAGTGACACTTACAATTTTAATTTCAAAACTACATTAGCTGGAATGTCAAGAATGGGCCATGTAAGCTCATTTAAGTAGAAGTCAAATTTTGTCCCAGCTCCATCATTCTTCCTTGTTTGGATAAAGAAGATTAATTTATTACTCCATAGAAAGAAAGGCAGAATGGATGCATAACTAGAGTACAGCTCCTAAACCCTTTAATTTTTACATTCTTTCTGCTGCTTCTTCAATTCACAGAAAATGAAACTTCAGTGGAAGTAATACAATATTTTAGTGATAATATGTCACTGGATTTAAATTGTAAAGCGTATACCTAATGGTTATATCGGCATACGTAAAAAGTATTTTGACCAATACACACAAAGGGAAATGTGATTTTTAATTTGCTCAGACTGTAGCTGTGTTTGAATGAAACATAAAACAAAGAAAAAAAAAAACTCCTCTAGCCAAAAGACAAACTTAATGCCAGTCAGGCTCTACATCTGTTAAGGAACTGTTGATAAAGCTCCATCCATAAAGTCTTCATTGGATCTTCTGGTTGAGCACGAACAACTAACAGTTGAAACAAACAATATTTCAACTTGTCAGCTACACAAAAGTGGTAAGAAACCTTTGCTATGTCCTTGTAAATCTTTTTGATTGTAAATTCATTTTAATGAATTCAGACAGAAACAATATTAAATTATTTGGCTGCAATGTTAGCTTTAAAACTAAACCAAACAAACATCAATACAGTCAGAGAGACTTTCACTGGGGCCAGATCTCCTGTCCTGATGGCATTAAGCGGGATCAACAGGCTCTCTTACCTACTAAACTGAACTGAAAGACAGAAAGGGAGCTTGAATCTTCAGAGTTCACCCCACCACTGTGTAGTTGATCTCCCATATTTATCCATACAAACCATAGAACATCTAACCAGTGTATCTTTTCCTTCTGAAATTAAGCAGCAGCCAAGTACCTTGAAACTTTTTTTGTAGGCTACAGCATCCCTCAGCTCCCATTAAGACTTTCAATTTTCTGGGTTTTTTTTCCTCTTATATATATACATGACCTACATTGCTATTTTCCTCAGTTATGGTTATGTAAAAAAAAAAAAAAGATAATCTGTTCAACTAGGAAAATATTCCTCAGACATTTTCCCTTTCCCTTTGAAAAACAACAAAGAATACACTGAATGGGAAAAAAAGGTTTTGCTGTAACAGCAGCATATGTTGCTCTGTCCTTCTGACCATTTTCTGTTCACTTTTCCTCTTTAATATGCAAAGATCATGTGCCTTTCACCCATGCCCTTTTGTTAGAGACCATATGGTACATGATCCCAAAATGCAATACAGGAATATCATGTCAGGTTAACTTATTACAGTGCAAGCAGGCAAAGAGGGCCCTTTGTAAGTTGCATGGGAAGCTGGGGAAGAGCGATGCGTAAAGGGGAAGATGAAATTGTAAGCAAGGTCAAACATGTCTCTGGGTGCCCTGAATTTTGTTGCTTTAATTATCTGTCTAAATGCTCCAGGAGTGCAGCTCTCTATGGGCTGAATTTCTAGCACAAGGAAAATCTCTAACTCTCTCCTTAGCAGTGTTTCACAAAAGAACTTGCACCACAAAACACTCTAGCTCCTGAAAAAGTCATCATCTGTAATTATATCTTCTAAATTTTATCTAAACTAGTAAACAAAACAGGGTCAGGGCATGGGCTTCAGCAATATCCTATGGTTTTCCATGCTTTTTAAGTTTTAGTATGGTCCCTGCCAGTTCTGCTCTGTGCCAGTCAGCCTTCTGCCAAAAAATCCTCAGGCACAGCTTGCAGGTAACATTAGACCACTCCAGTAAGTAGTCTGGATGCAGCCACACTCCTGAGGTGGGGGAAAGGAGTCAAGTCCCTGGTCTCCTCACTCCCCGAGAAGATAGCCCTAACATCCATGGGTTGTAGGGCACTTGGAGGCAAAGTTAAAGGGTATCACATTCCTTTCTGCACAAAAGACACAAAAAGGAATTTAGACACAAATTTTCATACTCGGGTCCATGATGCTTTGCCTGCCTTAAGACATAATTTAAAAGGGACTATGTGCCAAATGACTCCTCCTTGGCATGTTCTCTGAATCACCATTATGCACCATCAGGTTACTTGTTCTTCGCTGGAAGGGAATGTGGCACGTACCTGATACCCGATGCTTCTCATGAGAGATTTATGGTAAATTCTCCTCCTCCCTCCTTTCCCCCCAAAGGTTTAATATAAAGAAAACTTTTCCATTATTTTCAGAAGTGGTGAAGCATTAGACTTGGTTGCTTCAGGAAACAAGCAGACAACAAAGACCTGTATAGACTTTACAATAGGGGTGCATGAAATCAATAAAACCTCCTTTTCACTTGAGACATTTTATATTTCAGCATTATAATCTTAGAATGGAAAAACAGTCCCCATGGCAAAGGTCAGATACCAGTTGTCTTGCACAGAATGAGATTTTAAATCAAACTACATTTATTCCCTCTTTATAACAGGCATGAATTATTATTACATTAATAATTCTGTGTGTTCTTACCTCTCCCACAACTTCCAACCTGCTGGCATCATCAGAAGTACTGGTCAAATTACCGTGGTGAAGCAGGGAGTCATCATCTTTGGAAGGGCTGTTCACACCTTCTAACTCATCAAAAAAAATGTTGACATCCTTAGCTACTAAAAACAAAAATAAAAACATACATTCAAATCACCATTGAGCCAAATGAAGACATCGAGTATAACACATTATCAACAATCCCATTTTTTAGTTCTGGTTTCAGTATCTACTATGTTAAATTTAAAATCTGATGCACATTGGAGGAGTGTTTTCTTCACCAGTGAGCCACATAAAGATTTAGGATACCTCAATACCTCTCTGATGACAAATAAGTAATCTTCTGTCACAATAAAACATACATTAGCTATCTATCTCCTCAGCTTCTCTTGGGGTAAGTGGCTTAAACAATTGCCTTCTGGATTACTATAGTCTCTGAATATTTCTTATTATAAAGAAGCATTTTTTTAACCTGCTACATAAAGTATTGAGTTAGAAGCTGTACAGACCTGTGGGACAGCCAGAGGCAGACGACCTCAAATAAGTACTGTTACTTGAAAGGCACTGAATAAATGAGCCTGGGCAGAAGTTTGTCTTTACACAATTTGGCATGTTTTGATGCACATAAAGCTGGCACATTCAGATCTACCTAACTGCACAGCCCTCAGTCATGCATGATACAATAGTTTAAATCTAGAGGATGCTGTAGTAAACCCAACCCTGATAAAAAGTGAAGAGATGTAAGGGCCTGGAGCACAACCTCCCATCCTGGGGTTCTGGCAATGGGGCTCTGGGACAAGACAGAGCCAGTGCAGCCAAGGGTGGCTCCTTCCCTCTGGTGTCTGTGGGGAGAGGCCCCCAGACCACGCCATGGGGAGGCCTTGCCCGGCCATCCCAGGGCTGTGTCTGACCCTGGTTCTCCTCACTGGGCCTGATCCTGATGTCAACCCATGGGCTGACATTCCGGCCTGGCCTTGGCCCATCCCTCCCAGGGCAGGGCCTGGCAGCCTGGGTCTGTTCCCCCATCCTTTCCGCTGGATGGGATGGTGGGACAGGCCCAGGCTGCCAGGCCCTGCCTCCCGCCATGGGGAACACCTGGAACCAGCGGTGCCCTGACAGGAGATACCTGCTTGAGTAAATGGGTTGAATTTCCTCCACCTTTCACATCATGCCATGTCATGTGATAATTTTACTTTAATTAAAAAACAAACAAACAAACAAACCAACACTAGAAGGAATGAGTTAAAGGCTGGCACTGTACTCAAGATTAGAGCAGCATTAGCTTTAGGGTGACGTTCCCTGCTCTGTTGAGCAAGGAGGCGATGAGAAGCTGTGGGCAGAGCTGCTGTGCAAGTCTACAATCCCACATAAGGGCTGTTGACCTGCTGACTGAGTGGCTGTTGGATGGGAGAGGCGAGGCGGGCAGGCTGTGGCCAGTGAGGTCCACCTTTGCACCCCATATGCTGCAGGTCTGGTGTGAAAGCATGATGAAGAGATGTGTGGAGGGGGCAAGAAAAATGCCTTTTCTGAGGATAAATCTTCAATTGTGGATAGACTTCATGTGTCCAACCTCATGTTTCATAGGCAAAATCCAGAACTACAACAGTAGAGACATAACTGTTAGAAGGGACCCCCAAAGGTCAGCTACTGAGCCTCTTCCTCTGACTAGAGCAGGATCAAACATCTATCATTCCTGACAGAAACTTGTCTAACCTGCTATTACTCACAGGTTTTTTTTGCAAACTTGACTGACTTCTGGAATATTTTTTCTGTTGTGCAATAACCTCCTGATCCTTTTGCTTCTCTGCAACTCCCCTAACTTGGTGACAGGCAGTTGTAATTCCTGTTGACAAGAATTTATACTAACAGGGAACAGCCAAACATCTCTAATTGCTGACGGCAACTTAGTTCCATTTCTAACTCCTGGCTATAGGTGTAAAAATCTATTCCCCCAGTGTGGAGAGATTGAATAGCTGCCTGAAATTAAAGGCCGTTAACTGTTCCCAGCCATCATGAGCATTTTGTGACCTCCCTTTCACCTTTCCCTTCTTCAGGGGCTATAGCCCAATTTGAGAAACCTTTTTAAAAAAATCTCCAATGCTATCGACTCCACAGTCTCTGCAGGTGGCCTGTTTTTCACTACCACAAGCAGGAGAAAGTTTTCTTCATAATATTCATCCTGAATATGCACCTATATTATTCTTTTCCTATCAATCAATCATGAACACAGGGAACAGATTACTCCCTTTTTGTACATGTCTTTTACAGTATCTGAAGTCTGTTATTACAGTTGTAGGTAGGTAAAAAAGAAAACCCTATCAAAATATTCAAGAACTCTTCTTCTTCATTTTCATGCATAAGGACAGAGTTAATGAAATACATTGAACGTTCAATTGCAATACTTTTGCTTATAAAGCCATGAAAAATTTCAGAAACAACAGAAAAGTCTTCCTATCCAAATGAATCCACTCTAGATACCAAGCTAATGAACTAACCTAAGCAGCATAATTTCTAATAGAAATTAAATTTTCAATACTTTTAACACCTTTTTTTTTTTCCATCTAGACAGCATAACGTAAGAAATTCTGTGCCAGATTTACAGTTTTTAGGATAACATACTACCCCTCAAGTTTAGCAATTTTGGGGTTGCGTACTGACTAATCTATCTACCATTCTTTGTATCCCAATATTAGTATCGCACAATATTTAAGCCTTACTTAACACTTCATATCATAATTCATCAGTTTTAGATAGCATCCTCTGTCCTGCAGGATCTCCATCAGCTTTTACAGAGATACTGGGAGTAACAGCTTCACCTACTTCACTCTCTTTTGTAGTGTGTGTATCATCATAGTCTGTGAACACATCAGAGAGATAAAACCTCTTTTTGCCGAGTTTCGCTTGCCGTTTTAAGGCTGGTTTTACTATCAGTCCATTTATTTTACTTACCCTTCTTTTGTGAAAAGTGCCAGGATATCATTAGAGACAAATATTCAGGACTGAGTTTTCCACTTTAAAACTGGCCTTGGCTTCACACCATCCTGTTCCCATTTAGGGGTGAGCTTACTGACAGGAGTGGAGAAGAGCATCCTGGTGTTGTTTTAGTTTATGTGATGGGGAGAGCCTGCAGTTCCTCAGTGTCACTGTGTCTGCATCACTACAGAGGTTTTAGGAGACTTAGAAGGCAAAAAACAGACTCCAATTTGTACCACATGCAGCAGCAATGTTACAGAATTATTTGCCACCTCGATCCATTTCAATCCACAGAAATCATGCTAGAGATGCCTATAAAAGACAGGGAAACCACCGCAAGACAGCACAGTCTAACCACCTGCCCTTCCCTGCCTTACCGTTTCAAAAGGCAAGACTGGAAACATTCCAGTCCATCAGATAATAATCTGGATGTAGATCATGACCAGCTTTTGCATACATGTTCATATGAAAAGAATTAATCTGAATACTCGACAAAAGAACTAGTGAAACAGAAAACATTTCGAATGTCTTGAAACTTCACTGACTGAAACCCAGCAGAGTGCCTCCATGAGGGTGACTCATTAACCTGTATATGATCAACACCTCAATATAGTCTGAAAACAACTGTAGAAAATACAAAAATAATTAAATAGTGAAGCTTTCTGAAGATTATGCAAGATATATATCTATTGCAGACAGAGGCAATGAAAGATATAAAAATGAAAGTTTTGCCTGTATGCTATGCTCGAGGGAATTTGAACTAGCTTTTTCTTGCCATTAAGATTGCCTTGGTATAAAAGATGAGGCCTTTGAGATACTAGAATTGCTGCTTCCTGAAGTGCCAGTAATGCTTTGGGTTGCAAAATAGATGGTTTTTAAGTGGATGTTTTTTGATACACAACTTGGTGTATAAGACAGTGAATGTGTCTGGGGGGTTCGAGCAGAGAATTACTGGATTATTCTGAGAACTCATGAGGAGCAAAAAATCTTATTTCAAGGTCACTTTAAAATGCATCCCATCTTAGCAGTGACTAGAAGTTGTGGAAGCAGTGAATCTCAGCTAGTTAGTGAAATTAGCTACCAGGACCTGTCCAGATTGCTTGTGGTAGAAAATTGCTTGTATCAGAAGTACGCAGATAATTGGCATGCTGGTTGGTAGCTACAGCAAATAGCATAAGTAGTGAAGAGATGGCTAAACTATCTCATCAGCGCTAAAGGTATCTGTTACCTTCTTCCAGTTGCAGTAAACGTGTGCTGCTGGTGAGAAAGCGGAGCTTTTTACGCTGCAGTTGCCTTGCTGTGTATGTTTTTGAAAATACACTCTTACGTCACTGAAACTAAACATGGGGCCCTAACATTTGCTGGGAACATTTTTCTACCTCAAATCTCACTGGACACTTAAAAAAATCATAAAATATTGTTCCACAAAACTAAATAAATAATTTAAAAAGCAAATCCTGTTTGCTTTACTTTAATAATGGTAATGATACTTCCAAGCCAACTGTCCTGCTGCCTGTAGCTAGCGCAGCCACTCCACTCCAATGGACATGAATGCCTATGCTGCCAAATGTTGCTAAAGGCATGATCAGGCCTCCATCTTTTCTGTTCCCTTCAGATCATGATGTGCATATATCCACAAATGAACTTAACAGAATGATATATAATAATTTTATCATATATATGCTGTTTGGGAGACAGACTGGTGCTAGTGTATAGTCATGTCTTTTTAAGCGATGGAATTTAACAGCAATACAGAGCAGCATGTATATTGCTACAGGAGTTACTAAGAATTCTCCCTCTGGTTTTAGATCAGCTTAAATATGCAAGCTCTTTTCTCCCCCTCATGTTTCATGTTGTGGAAAAAAATCAGAATGACTTGATAATTCAGAATCCCTTGAGGAGAGGAAAAAAATGTGGATATACAAATATTTTTATCCCAAATATAGTAGGAATGACATATTCTGAAATCTGAATGCTGGGAAATTCTGAGTGAGAGTCTGTACATAATCTCAGTGGGTCCATAAGCCACTTTGGACCAAGAGGCTGATTTAGGTAGAGCTCAAAGTTGAGATAACTACTTTAACCTTCTGAAGATGGATGCTCAAAAACTGAGGTGCTTAAAAATAAGAATTTTCAGTAAAAAATGGGACCTGACTATGTTTTTGTGTGGCAAGATGGAAACATGCTCAGAGATCATGTTTCTGTTAATTAATTGTTATTTTATTACCAATTGTCTCACCAAGCCATCGGCTATACTCTAGCTTTGGATAATGCAAGCTGAAGATCGATATTCCAGAAACTGCTCTTTGGAAGCTTTTAGGCCTGTCAGTAACATTGAAGAGTGAATTTCCTTAAAACTTCTTACTGTCAATGTTTATAATGAGTATAGAGCATTTCCACATGTTAAGTGTGGTGGAAAAAATGATTGGGTTTAAAAGCACCAATATTGGAGAATACCGCTTAATAAAAATCCTGAGCAGAAAACACCTGTTTTGCAGAGACTTGCAAAGCAGAAAAATTCAAGTATGAAAAATACAAGAATCTTTCTGCATCTTGTTTTTTTTTTTGTTATGCTTTTACAGCATCTCTTGGGATTTTTGATACAAACATATTTCTGCACTCAGTAAGGCTGGCAGATACAATTTAGAAACCTTTGCTTCAAGGAGGCTATCCTACAGATACCACACAGCCCAGAACTTTTTATCATGTTAAATGCTAAATTCAGTAACTACATGGTGGATCAGCAACCCTGACCCAGGAAACTCACTGATTTCTGGTTTCCAGATTTTAAGGATTAGAATGAGAAAATAAAATTATTTTTTATTAAATCTACTGAAAGTCAGTGTAAATTGGATTGTGAAAAATATTCTAAAAATCCAGAGACTTCTTAGAATTTTGACTTTACTGCAATGGCAATGAAAGTAAGTTTCATACATTGAAGCAAATTTCAGGAATTCATGAAAAAAGCTTGAAATTTGAGCTTTTTTTTTTTTAATAAAGCTATTTACTGCTTTTCCACAAGAAGTCCATCTTCTCAGTGTAATAAATAGGAAACAGCCATGAAAGCCTTTGCTAACTTTTGCCGTGGCCCTGAGGGCACCCCCAGCCCTGACTGTCCCTACCTGGACCCCCAGGGCTCCCTCCACCCTGCCCAGGTCCCAGGACCCCATTTCAGCTCCCCAGGACTGTCAGCCCCTGCCC